GAGAGAAGGCAGAGACAGGCAGAACTGAGATGAATGCACTATTCCAAGAGATGTAGATTTAAATGATAAATCTGTATTATTATGGAAGAAAAGTTAAAAGTAGAAATTAAAAAGGTAATGCAGGCTGGGTACAGTGGTTCACACCTGTAATTCTAGCACTTTGGGAGGCCAAGACAGGCAGATCATGAGGTCAGGAGATTGAGACTATCTTGGCCAACATGATGAAACCTCGTCTCTACTAAAAATACAAAAAAATTAGCTAGGTGTGGTGGCGCATGCCTGTAATTCCAGCTACTCAGGAGGTGAGGCAGGAAAATTGCTTGAACCAGGGAGTCAGAGGTTGCAGTGAGCTGAGATCGCGCCGCTGCACTTTAGCTTGGTGACAGAGCGAGATTCCATCTCAAGAAAAAAAGAAAAAACAGGTAATGCAAGTTTAAACTAAAGGTCTGTACCCCAACACATTTTTCTAAAGAAAGAATAATAGAAACCACTTCATTAGATAACCTATAACTTTCCAACATGCTTTGTTTCTTGAAAGCAAGAAGTTTACAGATCCTATTACATAAATAAAAAAATAAGGAAATGGTAGAGAAGGAAGGAATATATGAGAAAGAAATTTAAAAGTTCTCAAGACATAGGTACTCATATCCCATTTATAACCTAATTCTAACAAAACCTAAGACCACTAACTAAATAGATACACAGAATACTTCTTCAATTTACAGAGCTCTTGTTATGTTATGTCATATTAGTTATTAGCATTCACCATTTATTTACCTTCATTCCATTTTTTCATTGTTTATAAAAACTAAAAACCAGGTGCGCTGGCTCACACCTATAATCCGGCACTTTGGGAGGCTGAGGCAGGTGGATCACTTGAGATTAGGAGTTTGAGACTAGCTGGCCAATGTGGTGAAACCCTGTTTCTACTGAAATACAAAAGATAGCAGGGCATGGTGGTGGATGCCTGTAAGCCCACCTACTCGGGAGGCTGAGGCAGGAGAATCACTTGAAGTGGGGAGCAGAGGATGTAGTGAGCCGAGATTGTGCCACTGCACTCCAGCTTGGGTGACAGAGTCAGACTCCCTCTCAACAACAAAATAAATGTATATGTCTGAAATATGCTGGACATTGTGGATACTAGAATATTAACCCCCATCTCTGGCTTGTGGCAGTTACAAAAAGCTGAGATAATGTGATAAAATAGTTGTACTCTAATGTGATATGATCTAAGTGAAAGATATACGCTGTATACTGTTAATGTGTGCTATATAGGAGAATGTGAGTGCCTCAACAATAATTTTCAGACAACAGAATTATTTATTTTTAAATGAAATATTATACTAAATGTTAATATCAAAACAGAAATATTTAAATAATCCAAATATATTTTAAGAGTTCAAAATCTTAAGTATTTCAAAGGCAAGTTGATGTATAAAAAACCTTTGAAATCAGGGATAGAGTTGAAAGTTGCAGCCCCTTTATCCAATTTTTATTTGTATTTTTTTTTTGCATTAGAAGGAAAATCCAAGTTCATACTAATAATAATTTCAAATGGAATGTTGTTAATAGCTAGGTCATCTTGCAATATTAGAACAATCATTTTCAGGCACAGTTAAATCACTTTGAACATTTTTACTGTTTTCACTCCTTACCTATAATATGTTAAGCAGAAAACATATAAATCTATAGAAAGATAAATTGTGCCATTATCAGACCATGCATTAAGTAGACATGCATAATATTTTGCAGAAATTCAATTAGAAGAGTACTCACAATCCAGTTCAATTAAACAAGTATGTATTGAGCACCTACGTTATGACAAGCACTAAGCACTGGGCGAAAATGCTCTTGTGGTGCTTACAGCCTTTAAACAGGTAATTACCAAGGGCTAACTAATGTGGAAAAGACCCAGGTCCTTTGAGAAACTAAATTTGGTCTAAAAAGTCAGAATGGCCCTCTTAAAGAACAGTGAGCTAAAAGATAAGTGAATCACAGCCATGGAGGTTATGAGGAATGGGCAACATGCGGGTGGATCATGGGGTAGAGATACAGTGAAGAGATTTTTCAATAGAGAAAAACTCAAAGCAGGAAAAACAGCATAGTAAAACTATGGAAATTAAAGGACATCTTTGGCAGTCATTCATTTATTTGCCAAATATGCCTCATTGAGGGTCTAATAATGGCTAGCACTCTTCTAGACCCTGGAAATACATTTTAGAAAACAAAACGAAGAAAAATATCTGCCTTTTTGGAGGATACATTTTACTGTGGAATGATTTAAAAATGAAATGCATCATGTATCAGATTTGAAGTTCTCTGGAGAGGGAGCGTAATATGGAGTATTGCAGTGGGGTGTAGCAGGAGTCAAAATTTTAAACAAGGAATCAAGGAAGGCTTCATTAATTTGGTGACATTTGAACAAAGACCTGATATAAGGGAAGTACCAAACCATGTAGATAGCTGAGTAAGAGCAAATGTTAAAAAAAGCCCTGTTGTGGGAACAAGCTTTGGATGTCCAAGATTCTGAAAAAGGCCAGTGTTGCTAGATCAAAGTATCTAAAGGAAATAAAATGTAGGAAATGAAAAGCAAGGTCACAGCAGGTGGGGAGCAAAACCATGCAGTGCTTGGGGGGCAATTAACAAGGCAACAACCTTTACTCTTCCAGGAAGAGAAAGCCATTGGAAGGTTCTAAGTCCAGTCGTACATAACACAGTATCGTACATGTTTTCAGGAGATCATCAGCTACTGGGTTGAGCATAGACTGCAGAAGGGCAAAGCCTTAACCAAGAAGGTGCAGGAAGGGAGTATCTTCATCTGATGTGGTTGCAGAGGTAGGCAGAGCCAAATCATGGGCAACTTTAACATTAATATGTGGGAAATTATCCAAATTTTTGAAACAGGAGAATGTAATGAATAGATTTCTGTGTTTACAATTGTGCTATCCACCATGTATTCACTAGCCGTGTGAGGCTGTTGGGCACTTGAAATGCAGTTAGTTTGAATTGAGACCTGCCGTAAGTGGAAAGTACATACAGGATTTCAAATACTTGAACAAAAAAATTTTAAAACTTCAAAAAATGTAAAATATTTCAATGGTTCATTTTATGTTGAAATAATATTTTGGATATATTGGGTTAAATAAAATATGTTATTAAAATATAATTTCACCTGTTTCTTTTTAGGATTTTAATGTGACTACTACAAAATTTAAAGTTATGTATATATGTCTCACTTTATACAGCTGTTAGATACGGTATGTTTAGAAGATCGCTCTGTCTGAAGAATGGATTAAAGTGGACAAGAATAGTTGCTGAGAGGCTAGTTATTAGACTGTTATCAAGAACAGTTGAATATCACTAGCCTCTTCTAAATATCTTAGGAGGTGTTCTAAGCATTCTGAAAAGACTCTAAGAAGTGGTAAATTAACAGAAAACACTTCAGATGGGAAATTATTTAAATTCTTGTTTTAGCTACCAAAGAAAGTAAATAAAAGGTAACAATGCCTGGCTGCAGAAAATTAAGTTACAAGCAAAGCTACTTTATATTCCGAACAGTGTCTTTGACTGAAATTTGAATGGCTGATTAAAAGAAGAAAACAATATGCTTATAACTCTTCTTTGTGTGTCTTATAGGTCCTATATATGCACATGTAATAAATATTTTTTATATTGTGGTTCTATGGCATACGTGTTTCTAATTAATGTAAAATAGTCTTATTCCACAAAATAACATAAAAAACCTTTTAAGTAATATTTTAAATATCACTTTATCTTAATATTTTAAATATTACTTTATCTTAAAATATTTTAAATACCATTGCAATATTTAGAATGTAAGCTCCCCATTTAGATTTGTATGTTCTCTGTTCATTAACTAGTATATTCTGTTTTTAAATATGGTTATAGATTAAAGGTATTCTTTAAATTTCAGGTCCAACTTTTTAAATTATTTGGCAAATTATTAACAGACCTACCCTGTTGAATATTCAGTTATTTTAAACTGCATATTTTAGTAGAAAACAATTATTGTATTAGAAAACTGTATAAGATAGATTTATTGAATATTTTATGATACGTTGTGTTGTAACTGCTGTCATAAGGCCACATTTAGTAATTAAAGATTTTTAAACAATATTTCAATTTTGAAAATGTTAGTGGTGTTTCCCATATTTTATTTATATACTCCAATTTCCTAAATTTTAGAAAAATATTTTAATGGTAGTCTTTTTTTGATTAACTATATACTATTTATTTATCAACAAGTTATTGAAGAGACCATTGTTGTATATTTGTGTACCACCACTTCCGGTTGCTGTTGATATTGAATAACCAACCTCTTGATAATAATTTTACCGTGCAGAATTGATAATATTGCTCGTTTTGAATTACTAGATCATTTATAAAAATCTTATTATAAAAGCGAACATAAACTATTAATAAAATAGAGTTACAGCATATATAAAACAAAATTTAGCCACTAACAAAGGTGTTAAAGACACACTTTCACCAAATTAGAATTTTCTTCTTGAGCACTCACAAGAACTGAAGAGAAAACAGAATGTAAATACATTTTGAACAGTGTGATTTAATGTTATTTAATGCTATCTCCGAGAACAACACAAAACTATTTCTCTTACTGCCAGTTGTGGGCATCCCCATTCTTAGGTAACTTAAGTAAGCGCTGATATTTTGTGTGCGTGTGCCGGTGTGTGTGTGTGTGTGTGTGTGTGTGTGTGTGTGTGTGTGTGTGTGTGTATGCTTGAGGTATGATTTTACATATTAGCAGCCTCAGCTAAAATATGATGGCATACTGGGTTTTATTAACTCTCAGTCACTAATTTCATTTGTTAATATTAACATATATGACTTCTTTATGTATGTATAACACTTCTCTGCGATCTAATGTGTGTATAAATTAAAGTATGTTATACATGTACAAATAAAAGAATTCTAGCAATAACAACTAAAAAATGGTTTTTTTTTCTCTTTTTTTACAGCTTGCAGACCAGGATTCTATAAAGCTTTTGCTGGGAACACAAAATGTTCTAAATGCCCTCCACATAGTTTAACATACATGGAAGCAACGTCTGTCTGTCAGTGTGAAAAGGGTTATTTCCGAGCTGAAAAAGACCCACCTTCTATGGCATGTACCAGTAAGTCTAGACATTTTGGATTTACAAATTCTGTTTCCAATCATTTTGGTCTTTTTATTCTAAATTTTAAAAATAAGTAAATGTATAACATCTTGCATTATGAATGCTATTTGTCTGTGATAACAGTCAAGGAAAAAGCTTCTCTCTCTTCTCACATAGTCGCTTTTCAGCTCTTTGTAAAGAATGTGTTTACTCCTCAAAATTCATTTTGATTCGTGATGTGCAAGTGCCAGAACTGGTTTGAGGAGTTACAGGTTTTCCTTATCCACAATCTGTCCTTAGGAAATTATAGCAGTCGAAGTCTGCATGAGAAGCTATGAACAAAACTTCTGTTCTTTGCTTCATCCCTTGACCATTTTAAAGCACATCAATTTAGGACCATAACGTTAATGTGTGAGGGAGATTCCAGAGGAAACTTTAAAAGTCATTCTGCTATTGTTATGTAGAAAAGTTCAAGTTTCCTTGACATTTATCTTTCACGGCAGGTATTTTTGAGTTTCTCCACATTTCACATCTCACTTTCTCTCCAATTTCTTTGGTTAGAAGCAATGCAGTGTTAAATCTAAATTTGAAGGTCATTTTAATATTTACGCCAAGAATTTTAAATGAATTGTATTCTTCTATTATTAAAATATTATAAAATGTCTGTAAATTTAAAAAATAAAATTGAATATATTAATACATTGCTAAGCTATGCAAAAGTAAAATATCTTAGATTGTTTTAAAAGTCTTGTTAAATATGTTAACATTAAAAAAACCCACAATATATAAATTTAGAAAAAGGTAGAGGAGACTTTTTTTTTCTTTTTTGGAGACATAGTTTCACTCTTGTTACCCAGGCTGGAGTTGCCTTGGCATGATCCTGGCTCACTGCAATCTCCACCTCCTGGGTTCAAAGGATTCTCCTGCCTCAGCCTTCTGAATAGCTGGGATATCAGGCGCATGCCACCACACCCGGCTAATTTTTGTATTTTTAGTAGAGATGGGGTTTCACATGTTGGCCAGGCTGGTCTTGAACTCCTGACCTCAGGTGATCCACCTGCCTCAGCCTCCCAAAGTTCTGGGATTACAGGCCTGAGCCACCGCCCCCTAGCTGAGAGTTCATTTTTTATGAAGAGTTATAGTTTTCAAGGTGGCCTTTCTGCAGGCTGGGAAACATAGCCTTTGACCAAGACAGGCACTTTGAGGATGGTAAGAATGACAGGGATTTATGCTGAATGAAGTTGTAAAAGATACATATTAAATAAGCTATAGGAGTCACGAAATTTATGAAAGCAGAAACATGCACATGCACATGCACAAATGAGCTTCAACCTCAGCATGGGACCCGTGTACAAAAAATGGCCATGTTAGCACAATCCAAGGGTGGAGTTTTCAGCCCTCTGATGTAAAAGGTGAAGCAGAGAACATAGAAACCCTTGCTGAGCATACTTTCGAGTAGCCAGAACTGCTCTGTGTTTGGTGGCCTCTTAGTAGGAAGGAATGTTGGTTCCTTGTTATATCTAAACCACAGAAAGGGAGGGGAAGCATCAGGCAGTTAGTTAATATCAGTCATGGAGTGAGTCTTTTTTTTTTTTAAAGGAAAAAAATCTTTTACTAAACTTTTACTAAGTATAAGGAATTTCTAAATTGTCCCAAGTAAAATATCCATGACTATATGTGATAAATACTGTAATCAGTATTTTACAGATGAGAAAACAGTGTGTGAAAGACTTGTCTAATAGCACACTACGGTAAAGGCTACAGCCAGGAACATAAGGGCATTCAAGATATTTTAAGAGGGAATTTAAATTCATTTGCTTTGGCAAAACAGTTTCTCATTGATACCGAATTATAATTATAATATATATATATTGTACTTAAGGTTCTGGGGTACATGTGCAGAACATGTAGGTTTGTTGCATAGGTACATACATGGCAATGTTGTTTGCTGCCTCCATCCCCCTGTCACCTATATCTGGCATTTCTCCCCATGTTATCCTTCCCCAACCTCCCTACCCGCCGCTGTCCCTCCCCAGTCACCCCAACAGACCACAGTGTGTGATGTTCCCCTCCCTGTGTCCATGTGTTCTCAGTGTCCAACACCCACCTATGAGTGAGAGCATGTGGTGTTTGATTTTCTGTTCTTGTGTCAGTTTGCTGAGAATGATGGTTTCCAGATTCATCCATGTCCCTACAAAGGACATGAACTCATCGTTTTTTATGGCTGCATAGTATTCCATGGTGTATATGTGCCACATTTTCCTTGTGTGAGTCTTTAAGAATGGCTGGTTTCTGTTTAACCTTTAGGGAAGAAAGCCTTATGGTAGTGATGGAGGAGGTATAATGAGGTGTGTCCAGCCTCTCCTCTCCTCATCATAGATGGGATCTCAGTTTTTAGATTTCTCTGAGGTCTGCTTGGCCATGAAAGAGTCTGTTCAGTAGGCTGGAGGATTCTGATTTTATTTTTTATTTTTATTTCAGTAGTTTTGGTGGAACAGGTGGTGTTTGGTTGCATGGGGAAGTTCTTTAGTGGTGATTTCTAAGATTTTGGTGCACCCATCACCCAAGCAGTGTACACTGTACTATATGTGTAGTCTTCTATCCCTCTTTATCCTCCCATCCTTCCCCACCGAGTTCCCAGAGTCCATTATATCATTCTTATGTTGCTGGTCCTCAGAGCTTAGCCACCAGTTATGTGAGAACATATATGATGTTTGGTTTTCCATTCCTGAGTTACTTCACTTCGAATACTGGTCTCCAGCTCCACCCAGGCTGCTGCAAATGCCATTATTTTGTTTCTTTTTATTGCTGAGTAGTATTCTATGGGGTGTGTGTGTGTGTGTGTGTGTGTGTGTGTGTTTATGTGTGTGTGTGGGCATATATATATATATCTCCCACAATTTCTTTATCCACTTATTAGTTGATGGGAATTTGGATTGGCTCCATATTTTTTTGCAATTGCAAATTGTGCTGCTATAAATGACTTCTTTTCCTCTGGGTAGATAGATGCCCAGTATACCCAGTAGTGGGATTGATGGATCAAATAGTAGCTCTACTTTTATTTCTTTAAGGAATCTCTATACTGTTATCTATGGTGGTGGTATTACTTTATGTTCCCACCAGCTGTGTAAAAGTGTTAGCCTTTCATCACATCCACACCAACATCTATGATTGTTTGATTTTTTAATTATGGCCATTCTTGCAGGAGTAAGGTGATATCGCATTGTGGTTTTGATTTGCATTTCCCTGATAATTAGTGATGTTGAGCATTTTTTATATATTTGTTGGCAGTTTGTAGATCTTTTGAGAATTCTCTATTCATGTCCTTTGCCCACTTTTTTGATGGGATTATTTGTTTTTTTCTTGCTGATTTGAGTTCCCTGTAGATTATAGATATGAGTCTTTGTCAGATACATAGTTTGCAAATATTTTCTCCTGCTCTGTGGGTTGTCCTTTACCTCTGCTGATTATTTCTTTTGCTTTAAGGAAGCTTTTTAGTTTAATTAGGTCTCATCTATTTGTCTTTATTTTTGTTGCATTTGCTTTTGAGTTCTTGGTCATGAACTCTTTGCCTAAGCCAATGTCGAGAAGAGTTTTTCTGATGTTATCTTTTAGAATTCTTATGGTTTTAGATCTTAGATTTAAGTCTTTGATCCATCTTGATTTGGTTTTTATGTAAGGTAAGAGATGAAGATCCAGCCTCATTGTTCTGCATGTGGCTTGCCATTTATCCCAGGACCATTTATTGAATAGGGTGTCCTTTCTCCATTTTGTTTTTGTTTGCTTTTATTTTTATTTGTCAATTACATAAGTAAGATACTAAGGTGAACATTTACCCTTCCTGGTGATGCATTGGAACCAAAATTTTGCTTATTTTATGTACTTCCATAGAAGCAAAACTAGACTTACATAATATCACATACTTCTTAGAGGCAATGATGGAAATGTCCCAATTTTTTAAACTTAACTGATGCAGTTCATAGAGTTTTCTGCATTACTATAGACTCCCTTAAAAATATTTTTATGAGGCCGGGCACGGTGGCTTACGCCTGTAATCCCAGCACTTTGGGAGGCCGAGGCGGGTGGATCACAAGGTCAAGAGATCGAGACCATCCTGGGCAACATGGTGAAACCCCGTCTCTACTAAAAAAAAAAATACAAAAAATTAGCTGGGCATGGTGATGTGTGCCTGTAATCCCAGCTACTCGGGAGGCTGAGGCAGGAGAATTGCCTGAACCCAGGAGGCGGAGGTTGTGGTGAGCCGAGATCGCGCCATTGCACTCCAGCCTGGGTAACAAGAGCGAAACTCTGTCTCAAAAAAAAAAAAAAAAAAAAATTTTTATGGAACACATTTAATAAAAATGTAATACATTCATTATCACTATTCAATAGTAGATGTAATTTTTCTTCCTGATTGTAAATGCTAAGTGACTGCTTTCTTCAGAAAATTACAGCCTAGGAAATTACTACTTTTTTTTTTCCTGAGAACATATTTTAAGTTTATAAATAACAAAAGAAAAATTCTGAATGTAATTTCTCACTTATGGAGAAAAGTTTTTAGCAGACAAATCTTGCTATTATTGTATATATGTAATCTTCCTTGCATGGTTCTGCATAATATTATATATATTATGGACAGTATACTACAGCTTAGGAAGTTGGTGGTATTTCAAATGGTTACAGTCCTGTCAGGCAAGTATCGCTCAAAACCTGTGTAGGAAACTGAATGGAGCTTTCTGAGAGAGAGGAAAGTATCTTCTTATTTTCTTAGGAGGCTGTAAACAGAAGATCGGTAAATTGAGGGAACAAGTTAGTTCCCATCAGTGTAACCCTTCAGTGAAGTAGTATAGTTGGTAATTGAGAAGGCTTCGTTAGAGTTATTCAGAATGAGAGACTAGTCAAAGAAAAATAAATATGGGCACAACAAGGTCTATGAATGTGATAAGCTTGTCAGTCATTGTTGAAGTAGATATGTGTATTTTTCCACTTATCTTGTATGTCACTTGAATTTGCTTTTA